CTCCCCCTTTTTTCACTTGGTCGTCCAAGGGGGGGGGGGGGGATTTAAACCGCCGAAACATCCCCTTAGATCCACCCCTGGGCTTAAGTGGCATAAATACTGAAGCCTAGCCGTTCCTTTGACAGTCAACATCACCACGCACTCATGTTCTCATCAAAGTGCCCGGTTGCAGAAATACTCCTATAATACCTTCACTTTCGAAGTAATTTTTTTTAACGATTCTCTCAGCTTCTATCAACACTGTTTTCAAGATGAAGTCGTTGTTTGTCATCACTCTAGTTCTATTTTCATGTCTGTGTCTTGTTGGAGTCAACCAAGCCGTCGCTGTTTCAAAGGAAGGTTCGCAAGATGAAGGTGAGGTTTTTGGGCAGGTTTTATTTATCATTATGCTACCTATCACTGTAGATTTCTTCCATTGATGTCTCTTACAGTACCGAAACGGGGTAGATGTCCTCCCTAAAACATAATTAAGGTATTTTGAGTAGAGTGTAAGAGGTGTTTTTCGCAACCAACATTTTGGCAAGAAATATTACAATTTATCTAATCGATAACTTTGATCCGCAAAAGCATTGTCTGGTGTATGATTTAAACTAAAGGTATTAATTGGGATTGGCCAATTGCAAGTTTCTAGTTTAAGCCAGGGATAAGATTTGCAAGTATACTATCTTTTAAAAATAATGTATAGGATAGGACAGAGGAAGATAGGAGGTGGATAATATTTGGATGCTTACCAATAACATTTTTCAAAGTCAAATGAAATCATTACTTGACAAAGCCCTATTAAATTTGTTAACAAAATTTTCGTGTACGGAGCATCATTATCTTTTGTATTTTTGTGTATTTTTTTTTTCAACACCAAGCAGCAATCTAGACTTTCTCAAAATATATTCAAGTTTGCTGATAATTAGGCATTATTGATCAAGTTAATATTAAGATATATTCTACATAAATATAAGCTGATATTCGTTGATACTTTTTCTTGCTTGTTTTATCTGTTATAAGGAATACGTTTGAGCTAATAACACATTAATGATATTGAAGGTAAGAGTCACAACATTGAACCAAGAACATGTCCAAGTGAAAACAGATTTTGATCAAAATGTTATAAAAAAATGATCACTTTCTCCCTAAAATGTTAATAAGTTAGAACCACTTGAAAAGGTGTTTAATCTTTCTCTTTCTCTCTCTCTCTCTCTTTCTCTCTTTCTCATTTTTGGCTTCTATCCAACTGTCTATATCTCCCCCTATTTCTACGCGCCCATCTCCTTACCTCTCGTACCTCAAATCCTCAAATTTTCTCTCTCTTATTCTTTTCCTCTATCTTTCCTTCTGTCTCTTAATTACCCATAATCCCCCTTTCTCTGCCTCTATCTAATCTTATGGATCTCCTTTTATCACAACGTGTCCACCACTTTCTATCTCTCTCTTCTCGCATTTAGCTTTTGACCCTAACAAAATTCTAGATTCAGGCAAACTGACCCAGGCAGAAGAGGACAAAATCTCTGAAATTAGAAAACAAGTACTGTTCCTTCAGTTATGTACGCGTATTTTAAAGCATACATTTTTACATTCTAATTAGCACCAATTTGTATAGAATCGTGACTAGCCAAACCTGTGCCTTTTTTTGTAAAGATATACTACCTTCCAGTGACCGACTTTGCGAAAATTGCTGTTGAAAATCATGATTTTCGGGAAAATTCCGAAATAACTTCAACTTGCCCTAAAATCGCGATCCTTGGTCAATGCACGGCTCACTTCCCAGGTCAATAAAGCTAAGCGGACATTTGCTTTTTAACCGTCTGCCAAGTTTGGTAAAATGTGATGAAGTCATCGCAAATTTATCACCTAGAATGATGAATTTCCTACGGATTACATAACAATACGCAATACGTTTCAGGCATGCAGTACATTTTGCGCAGATGACCTTTGACCGAATACGGTATAGTTTATGTTCACACAGAAAAAGTTCGAGTTAATCGCATTTGAACGAGTGCCACAATGCGGATTCCACTGTAATAGACCAGCCAAACATTAGCTCTAGAAAAAGATTCCATGGCGTCAGAGTCAGCAGCCTAACATGTTAGCCTATGGAATGTTTCCCCCAAACAATCGTTAAAAATTCGTTTTTTGTTTAAACGAAAAGCACATCCACCACGACGTACGTTATCACTAGCTCTTTCATTGGAACCCTCATGTCTAATTGACTTTTGAAAGTTCACCCACCGTACTTTGATCAAAATAGGTTGCAAGCTCGTCATTGCCTATGGTACACATGTGAAACAAGTCGAACTTTGGACTCAGTTTGCCAAGCGATTTTAAGATTATAGGTCAAGCACATGAAGAATAAGAAGCATGAATTATCATAGATCACTTCTGCTTGGTTCATTTAGTCCATTTCATCCAACCCCCACCGTAATTTTTCCATTTAGTAAAAGCTAAACATTTTGCCGAGGTTTGCAAAAACATGAATTTTCATGAACGGTCAGACAATATAGTCTTTTAGTACGTAACGTATATTGAATGAGAATGGGCGATGATCCGTCCAGGAGGTAGAGGTCAGTGGTTTGTGCTGGCAAAGTTCCAGTGAGCAGAAATGAGACAAGCGGAGCCATATGACTTAGCCCCTCTTTACCAAAATCGTTTGGCACATGCCATGAGTTGTAGGTGTAGGGAATCGGAGACCACCAAGCTTGAACCCATCACTGTCTGTCCGTGTTGGCTCCAATAGCGCTGTAATATGTAGCCTTTAACAACACTAATGCACAATCCAATTCATTTCGAAGACTACAATGCGTTCTTTCTCCGAGAAAATTGGCAAAATTGACCAAGATAAGCTATTTTGTTCGTAAAATTTTGCTCTGATATAAAAACACCATTTCCACTGAATGTTGTGGTGTATGCAGGTATTTAGGGGTGGCTCTTAAAAAGTAGTTTTAAAAGGAAGTTTATGAAGTATGCCAACCATCACATAAAACTTATGGCCACTGTGTGTTGTGAATGGGTGTTGCAATTCACATTATGAATGGTGTCTGATCAGAAATGTGTGTCGGCAAGGGGGACACCAGGTCCAAGACGGGGGCCTACTTACCCCCAGTTGTTCATTTCACGTTGAAAGGCACTATCATGAAGCATATTTGGTTGTCGTGTCACCATTCTAATTTGAATGCACTTCATTTTAAGAAGTTGTTTCTTTGCTGTGAGTTTGATCAATGTAAAAGTCACATTACCAGAACATTATTCTGAAAGTATTTAAACATAATTTAAAGCACCTTTATTAAAGTTTAAAAAAAAAAAAAACTACAGAAATATTTTCGACCACATTGTTTTAAAATCGTTTCAAAATTACAGTAAGTTCATTGGCTGTATGTTTCTCTTTCAAAAAGTGTTTGAACTAACTATAACAATCCCATTTTCATTCAAATTGTATTTAAAATGTATTGATTTGTAACTGTCCTTTATTACCCTTTGGTGATGAAGTCATTAATCATTGTTATCTCATTGATCAGTTACATCATGACCACAATTTTGTTACCAAATAAAGAGAAGAAGTTACTGAAGAGAATACAAAACTTTCTATATGCGTAACATTTTTCATGTTTATGTAAATTATGCAAATGTGCTTAAGGGTCTCCAATTCCCAACACCTACCCTACCCCCTGGACATCCACCCCCGGATAACCACCCCCAGTCAACTACCCCCAGGACAACTAACCACTAGGACAACTACCCCCTAGAGCAACCACCCTGTAGGACGACTACCCCCTGAGACAACTACCACCGGACAACTACCCCCTAGGACAACTTCCCCGGACAATTACCCCCGGACAATTACTCCTAAGGATAGTTGTCCGGGGCGGGTGTCCTAGAGGAAGGTTGTCGTAGGGGTTAGTTGTCCGGGGGTAGTTGTCCTAGGGGCAGTTGTCCTAGGGGGTAGTTATCTGAGTGTTAGTTGTCCCGGGGTAGTTGTCCCGCGGATAGATGTCCTAGAGGGTGGTTGCCCTAGGGGGTAGTTTTCCTAGGGGGTAGTTGTCCTAGGGGGTAGTTGACTGGCGGTGGTTATTCGGGGTGGATGTTTTTGGCCAATGCTTTTAGCTACCAGCAACTTGTCGTAGGGTTGGAAGGCATGTTTCGCCAGAAAAAAAAATTCCATATCAGATTTGAAGAGTACCTTCACATATCAAAACGTTTGGGTTACTGAACAGTGCTTGTTTTTTTTATTAACAAAAAGTGTTTTCTGGAGAAGGACGTGAAAAACACGCCTTTTTGTTTACATCCATCTCCTTTCTGCTAAAAGTATCAATTTAGCCTAGATTGACTAGTATAAAACGACAAAGACTATGTTCTTTCGGGTAAAACAAACAAATTACCATTTCATTATGATTTACTAATGTATTTTATTTGTTAAAGTAGTCAATCTACTGTTATTTTTAGCTTGTTTTCTGTGTAAAATCAACGGGTCTGGCGACAGAGTCCTATTACCATGTAACAATGCGAGAAACCGCCCGCGTCTATTTTTTAGTTTGAGAAAATCTTTTTCTATCTAATTTTATCTTTCCAACCATATGAGACTCTTTTTTGATTGATCAATGTTACCCCGCGTCTCCTAGATGTAAGACCATCACATCTTTGCCGAGCGAAAGTTTTTGGTGAGATGATTCAGTTTGAGAACTCTGTCGCCTATACAGTAGTCTCTGTCACGGTCCACGCACTTAATACAATCCACAGTGGTGGAACGATACCGGCTGAACAGAGATACGGGATACGTAATCTATTGTGTGCACAGAGCATGACTGATGCATTTTCTTCAATTCCAATAGGGTTCATTTAGCTCCACACGTTTTGATAAGTATGTTCCGCCGCCTTAATCACAGAAAATAATATCGAGGGTACATATTAGTGATTTTATTTTTAAATTTGTATCCTAACTTCTCAACTACAAATCATGTAGGAATCTGTTGCTGAGATCACTCGTTCCTTCTCAACTCTTGAGCTCATCGCGATGAATCCATCAATGATGTCTAAGATTCAACTTCCTGACTCTCTCGAGACCGACTTTGAGCTGAGAGAACCTGAAAAGACACGACGTCGAAGGCAAGTCGACTCGCCATCGACTCTCCCAACATCGGTCCCACCATCTGGTGCCGAGCAGCCAAGCCTGGGACAGAACCCATTCGGACCATACTCATGGCCTATGTATTCTGGTATGAAAACCAGGTCACAGTTTCTTAAAATTTATTATCAATAACAGTTGCTAAATTTGTCTGACAAATTTCAGTATAGCTTAAAATATTTTTTGTAACTAGTTATTGATAACAAGTCTTTTGAAAGAGAGACCAGAAGTTTCTTGATTTCTCTATTGCCCATCGCACACGAAGGCTCACCTATGAACAAAATTAGTTCGTGCGCCTGGAAATCAAGCGTTTCTGTTGCATTTACCTTTTGAGTGATGCTACTCTCACCAGGCAAGTAAATAGGAAGTCCACTCCGCAAGTCTCTTGCGTATATAGTCCTATATACAATTATTCATCATCCAATAATGTATCGTCTGCAATGGGCATTGGACGCCTTGCAGGCGTTGAGGCGCCTGAAAGCCAGCATGTAACAATCAAGACATTCAGATTTCCAAAATCAGATCGGAAACCACTGCAATAGACAGGGCAGTACTGGTAGACTGTACGTCATGAAAGTAGAAACATCATTGAAGCTAACAGATGCGTTAGCTAGAAGAAAAGAGAAAAATAAGAGAGCCCTAAATGCCAAAACTAACTTCCAGAGCCGTAAGTAATATTGGTTGGCCACGTTAGACCATTTAAAGTCCGAACATAAGGAGATATCAATATTCGAGACTAAAAGGTCTATGATTCTACCAGAAAAAAATTGATAAGAAAAGATCAATGGAACGTACGACATAGGCCATGATCATCCAGATTGAGAATAACCTTCAGACAGAGCTATTATGCTTGAAATATAATGTTAGCAGGCAGGAATGTTTAAGCCTCGCAGATCATTAAACTTGATATGAAAAAATATGTTGTTCTTATTTAGGTCAATGTTTCTTGTGTCCTGCTGGTGTTCCTGGAGAAAAAGGTTGTCAAGGCCCACAAGGGGTTGCCGGTAGGGACGGGAGAGACGGACGGGATGCACCGACAGGTCCACAAGGTAGGCCTATAACAACATCTATCTGACTCGATATAGCACGACATGCAGAGGTTGTAGAAGATTCATAATTTTGACATTGTAATCATTGAAGCCGGAGAATGCATGTCTAGCGAAATAAAAACTCAAGTTATTTGAAAACACTTCGGACATTATAACTCATGTGTTGTCTTTGGCAATTTACACAATACGTGATACTACAGACCTATATTAACTAAGACAATATGGAGACGGATAATTGTGGGTCACTCGAGGTTGCTTTGTTTTCATATGCTTATGTAATAACGGCCGCTGCTTAAAAAAGCATACGGGCAGTTAGTCATTGATATGGTGAGAACATAAGCCGGACAAATTACACAAAAATATGTTTGTAACTTTTTAGGCTTCATTGAATTGACCGCGTTTTATACTATCCGTTATCAAATAAATTCTGTCTGTGGACTCCGATGTATACAATTCCTAAATTGTTAACATTTTAGCTGAGGAAACACCCATTTCACACAACGGCCAAACAAATTGAACTGAATCCACTTTCTATAAACTCGATTCAATTTATGACTAATGATGGCATTCCTTATACCACATATATAGATGCCAAACGTCTGGAATACAGTTGAATTTTGTCTAAATGGATTCCGATAAAACTTCTGAATGTTTCACATTTTAGCTCAAAAAACACCCACTCCACCCAGCGACGGTGTCATCTATATCCGCTGGGGTAACGATGTATGTCCTGAAGATGCAGAACTCATCTATTCAGGTTGGTATAGATGAGTAATATTAAAAAAAGGGGGGAAATCTGAACATGATTTTGACATGATTGCAAGGACTTTCTTTAAATCGACCACAGTCAATTTAAATAGCCTTGTCCGTCTGTCATATTAAAATGTGCGAATACTCTGACGTATTTCAAATATGGTAGGGAATGAAATATCTGCGAGTTAATTTTTTGAGAGTCTTTGCTAACTTGTTTCAATGTTAGTGTAATTTATTATCAATCTGATGTTGTGAAACAAAAATGTCTTTATCGCCACAAACGAAACACGTGCCTTCAGTAGCCTCACTGGCTGAAACTTAAGTGCACAAGAATGGTGAGGGTTAAGTGAATGCACACAAGTATGCCCAGTTTCTTTGAGTTATTGTAGTGCTGACCCTCATTTATTACAGTATTAAAGATAATAATATTATTAAACAGAATGTCATGCTATAACAAAGCGATCATTAGCATTCACTAATGTTCAGGTAGTAATAATAGCTACAATTATATTTCGCAAATATCAATCCAATGGGATGATCAAGGGGCCTATTACCAATTACTATAATTACCCTGTTTTTAGCCCACCTGCCCTAAAAAACAAAGACGCTAAGGACATTCAATGAATTAATATTTACCAGATTTACCTTTACTACTTTTGGGTGGAGAGTGGCAAATGTAGATAAATTATTGCAAAAGCACCTTAAGTGCGGAACTTGAACCGTGAACCATGTGCTCAACATTCCGGTGACGTAGCGCTACACATTGTTTGGAAAAGTGAAGTATTTAATCCCATTACAAACCATGATGATTAGCCCAAGTGCAAAATTCAGATGTCATCACGTGCCGAAGAGGTGTCGTAGATTATGTCATCAGACAGTAGATCCTAATTGGTTCGTTGTTCGAGTCCCACTCCCGTGCTAATGTCCTTCACCAAGACATTAATCCACATGTATACCACTCTCCACTCAGGTTTAGATGGGCACCTGGTAGGAAACTATTCCTTGAACGTTCTCCGGAGTTGCCTTCAATTTATTGCCATTGGTCCTTCATCATTCTTAATTTAGATTCTGATGATTTTGAACTTAAGTTGAATTACCTTTGTTTGTCTTACATTGCTTTGTGATTTATTCAGGTACTATTGGAGGTGCACACTACACTCATTCTGGTAGCGGCTCAAATTATCTCTGCATGCCGGACACGCCTATCTATGACGAAGTAGAAACTTCCTTACATAATGAACGAGCCCGCCTATACTCCTCTGAATACCAAGTGAGCGGCGGTCCGTCACGCATGCAATCCAGTCTTGACCAGACTCCGACCTGTGCAGTCTGCAGGGCGCCCTCTGGCCGCACCAGCAAACTTATGATTCCTGCCCGCAACGTGTGTCCTTCTCAAGAGTGGCGTTTAGAGTACGCTGGTTATATTATGGCACAGAGATACAACCAGAAGAGAACGGAATTCGTGTGTGTGGACCGAGAGATGGTTCCTAAAGCGGGTACCCTGGGGAATCAGAATGGTGTGCTGTTGCACCTGACAGAAGTTCGGTGTCAGGTGGGTGATGGCTTGGATTGTGGACCCTACATCGATGGTTACGAAATTACTTGCGCCGTCTGTACTATCTGAAGTCCTACTATTACATTCCACTTCATTTCGTGTAGTTTGACACACTTGTCAGTTCTTTTAATGCTTTTAGAACATTTTATTTTCATACACACAACAGTGATACAATGTACACCTTAGTTTCAGACACATACTAGTGATAAAGTGTAAAACTTAGTTTCATAGAAAGACAACACCTTAGTTTCAAACACACAATAGTGATAAAATGTACACCTTAGTTTTATACGCATAGCAGTGATAAAATGTACACCTTAGTTTTATACGCATAGCAGTGATAAAATGTACACCTTAGTTTTATACGCATACCAGTGATAAAATGTACACCTTAGTTTTATACGCATAGCAGTGATAAAATGTACACCTTAGTTTTATACGCATAGCAGTGATAAAATGTACACCTTAGTTTTATACGCATAGCAGTGATAAAATGTACACCTTATTTTTATACGCATAGCAGTGATAAAATGTACATCTTAGTTTTATACGCATAGCAGTGATAAAATGTACACCTTAGTTTTATACGCATAGCAGTGATAAAATGTACACCTTAGTTTTATACGCATAGCAGTGATAAAATGTACACCTTAGTTTCAGACACATACCAGTAATAAAATGTAAACCCTAGTTTCATACATACAACATAGATAAAGTGTCATGTAAAATTAGGCCTGTTTTGTCGATGGTTCTCTAAATGTTGTAAATGTATATTAAATTTCATGATAGATTGTTTTTTCCTTCAGGAAAGAATAGTTCTTTTGCTACTCTGAACTTTCTGATACAAAATTGTATTCATTCTCACAGAAGTGTGATACGAAACTCATTGATCGCTCAATGATTATGTCAACATATAAGAGTTTTCATTAAACAATCTGAATTAAACAGACAGTGTCTACATAATTTCAAAGGTCTTTAGGTGTAATTAATGTTGTCTATGATGCTATAAGAAAACGGTTGTGAGAGAACAGGTTTGACGGGAACTTGCTTTAGAGCAATCATATCTGCTTATGGAGATTTTAAAAAGTCCATTCATATCAGGTCTTTCCATTTATGCGTGGTCATGCTAAAATATATAGTAAAGAGAAATCTTTAAATCCTGAATACCTGTTTATTATTCTACAGAGTTACAATTTGGGAATGATCTAGATGGTTAATTTAACAGAGCTCACTGGCGTATTTTAATTACAACAATTTCTAATCCATTATATTAATGGCTCTGAATAGAGCGATCCATCTGTATTATTATAAAACAATTATCATAATTATTAATGTATATATGTTTTTTTTTATACCGTAAACCAAGCCAAACCAAACTATATACGAGTTTGCCTGAAAACAACATGATCATTTTCAGTGTAGTCAGTAAAACACATTCGCTCTTTCAAGGAGAACATAGTGACCCAGTGGCGGATCCAGGGGGGGGGGGGGCGGCGCGTAAAAACACTTTAATTTTACCCTTTTTTGGAGATGCCCCCGCCCCTGGCGCCCAAGGGGGGGGGGGGAGGGGTGCATTTTTCGAATTTTCAAGAGCCAAAACAAAAAATTAGTGCTCACTATCCCCCCACCCCCACTTAGCGAATTATCGGCCGGCGCGATTTCCAAATTTCGGGAGCAAAGAAAAAAAGAAGAACAAATTAGTGCTCACTACCACTAAATTTCAAATTGATTTCAAATTTGGGCCCCTCCCTAAGAAATCCTTGATCCGCGCCTGTTTTGACCTGCTATACTTTTAAAACCCACATCCATTTCATATACAATTAGCCGCAACCCCAGTCCTTTCAAGGTGAATCATGGACGAAATTAGTCAGTCATTTCTAAGTCTCATCTATCAGTACCTTTGAGTAGGCAGCTGGATATTGGCGGGTCCATATTGGATTGGATAACTTCCTGACAAATCTTTCACTCGACCTTGCTACTTCCAAGGCGTTGTTAGTTATTAATTGGTCCTGTTTGGACAGCTAGAGTCAAACAAAATATACATAGAAATTAATCATAAGTCACCTTGAGCCATCATAACAAAAAGAATTAAGGATCGCATGTGAAAGGGTGACTGTCTACATGTACTTCTGCATAAGAAATTACCTTGCCCCTTTCACATTTTGCCATACAATTTGAATGTCAAGCTAGCCTATTCTGCGCTCAGGTTAATACACATTAATGAAATGGTTCTAGATACTTAGAGTTTTTTTTAATCGGTGTATTTCACACAATCTCTGCTTAATACACAATTGGTTGTGCCGAACTAGCTCTGGCCCCTCCCTGTCACCAAATTTGGAAAAGACTGGGAGGGGCTTAAGTGTTACAGTGGTACAAATACCGAAGCAAACCAGCTTCTTGGACAGTTGAAATCACCAAGCATTCATCTTCTCACCAAAGTGATTGCAGAAATCTATCAAAACACTCTTCAAGATGAAGTCGTTTTTTGTTATCACTCTAGTTCTATTTTCATGTCTGTGTCTTGTTGGAGTCACCCAAGCCGTTGCTGTTGCAAAGGAAGGTCCGCAAGATGAAGGTGAGGTTTCTGGGCAGATTTCATTTATGTAATTATGCTACTTATCACTGTAAATTTCTACCATTGATGTCTTGTACACAATTGCTGCAATGGGGTAGATGACCTAATAATACATTTAAAAAATAATGTGTAGGATTGGACAGAGGAAGATATAGGAGGTGGATACGATGTGAATATATTGATGCATAACAATAACATATTTCAATGTAAAATGAAAATATTGACATTTTGTTTGTTAATTTGCTGGAAATAAAAATCAATAAAATCCATATGGAGGGGAAGAGAATGGTAACAAAAAATTACTTGAAAGGACCATTAAAATTTGTTAAACTTTATTTTCGTGTACGGAGTATTATCATCTCTTGTCTTTGTGTGTATCTTTTCGAACACCAAGGAGAAATTTAGACTTTCTAATATATATATATATATTCAAGTTAGCTGATAATTATGTATGATTGATATTGAGCGACTCCCTCTGATTCTACATAAATGTTAACTAACATAGTTTATTATATTTTCGTTGATACTTTTTATTCCTTGTTTTATCTGTAATAAGGATTATGTTTCAGCTAATATGACATTCATGATATTACAGGTAACGGTCACAATAATATTGTACCAAGAACTTGTCAAAGTTAAACAAGATTTTGATCGAAATGTTAGAAATAATTGAGCACTTTGATAACCAATTGAAATTGTGTTTATTCTTTCTCACACACACACACACACACACACACACACACAATCTCTATCTCTCTCCCCTTGTCTCATTTTCTGCTTCTATCCGACTGTCTGTATCTCCCACTATCCCTACGCGCACATTCCTCTTCCTCTCCTACCCCACACCCTCTATCTTCCTCTTTCTTATTCCTTTTCTCTACCTTCCATTCTCTCTCTTAATTATCTCTGCTCCACTCTCTCTGTCTCTATCTCATCATATGGATCTTCTGGTATCAAAACGCATCCATCTCCTTGTCTCTCTCTTCTCACACGTAGCTTTTGACCCTGAAAACATTCTAGATTCAGGCAAACTGACCCAGACAGACGAGGATAAAATCTCTGAAATTAGAAAACAAGTACTATTCCTTCTGGTATGTACACGTATTTAAAAGTATACATTGTTGCGTTCCATTTAATACCAATTTGTATAAAATCGGACTGAAGTAAGGCCAAGGCCTTGTTTCCTAACAATCGTATAAAAACAGCAATGATTATAATTACAAATATAAAATGGTAACAACATCAATGATAATAATTATGATACTACTGCTCCTTCTACTACTACTATGAAGAAGAAGAAGAAGATAAAGAAGTAGCAGAAGTAGCAGAAGAAGAAGAAGAAGAAGAAGAAGAAGAAGAAGATAAAGAAGTAGCAGAAGAAGAAGAAGATAATGAAGTAGTAGAAGAAGAAGAAGAAGAAGAGGGAGATAAAGAAGAAGGGGATAGAAGAAGAATCATTTCAGCGGTATGAGTGATTATTTCTCTATGGTCAAGGTTTATACATGCACATACTTCGTGGTAAGAATTTAAGGGAGTAAGAGAGGGGAAACGTAACATATTTGTTAACCTTGAGACTTTTCACTACTTTCCCTCTCTGATAAATCATCCGAACAATGGAATCAACCGAGTAGAATCATCTGTAAAATGAATTATTTTTATTCCTGAAAGCCTAACATGGAAAATAGCCTTGTAGAGACGATGAAAAAATAAGTATAATAATACATCGTCAGTAATCTTGAGAATGTTTACTTCAGTGTTAATACTTAATTAATATGAGCACCAATCGCCCTTGCGTTACAGATTTCTTTCGTGTAAAACTGGTGTGCGTGACCAAAATAACACATTATTTCAATCAATGTATTTTTTCTTTTTTCTTTCTTTTGAAATGTTGTCAATTTTTTGGAGAGAATATTTTAATGCCTTTTCCTACGAGAAACTAAGCAATGTTATAAAGTGCGTATCAATAGAATTGAACCCAATTTAACGTCGTAAGTAGCTCAAACTTATAAGAAATAATTAGTGTGAACTATAAATATATTTTAAAGTAGAGGGTTACTTCTTTCCTGTTCATAATGTTTCTGCCTTGGATGAATGAAAACCAGGGTTTTAAATAAGTCCCGTAAAAATCTGTATGTACCAAGTTTATTCTGATGCACGGAATGTGGTTCAGGCTATATGCAAGCGTTACTTTGGTCTTAAATCCTTTTGAATACTAAAATCTGTTTCGTGCTTCAGTGCTCCATTGTTTAAAGTGATCTCAAAGTGACTGTTTCTAAGCTTTCAAATGACATTATTTCGATCCACAGGATCACCTAAACCTGTTTTGAATATACGTGATATACATGCATTGATATACCTTTTCTAGTTCTGACATTCTTTTACTAATGTAGAACGCTGCCAAAAAGAAATGTTGGGGTAAAATTCAGGTTTTCCCAATATATTTAACATCAGCCTAACGTACCCAAATCCTACCTGAATGCATAAAAATGTAGTTCGGTATTTACATCTTAGGGTTTGCACTTATTTCTTGAATTACATTATTATACATATATATATATATATATATCTGAAATCTTATTATGGACGGTGGACCTCAACGCAGGTAAAGTGTCATAAACAGAAGCCAAAACATTGTTTCAAGTTTTCACTTCAGTTATATCACTGTCTGAGTTTCCTCGTATATTATTGTAGCGAGGATTATTTGTGTTAAAGCGAAACGATGAAATACCCCAATTTCGACATGCTTACACTTCAAATAGTTTTCCATTGTAATTCTACTCTAAAGAATCTATTCGACAAACATGTTTTTGAGCTTCAAAACACCCACGCTCCCCAGGTTACTATCAGTGAAAATAATATTTTTTTAAATCTGTAAAACCTACCAGCGTGGACATCATTTCAAATGATTTCAATCAAGGTACGTTTCTTTTCAAATGTTCCTTTCAAATGTGTTTTTCTTTCTTCTTTTTACCCTTGTTACAAGCCCACCCAACATTATGAAATATCTTATTCACCCACGATACTGCGACGTGTTATAAAGAGTGTTCTAGTTCGTTTATTATGGTATGACTAATTAGGGTCGGAGATAGATTTAATTTGTATGATGATGATGGTGATGATAATTGTTATTACTATCATTATTATAATCATTATCATTATTAATATATCATTATTATGATCTTTGTCATTATTAATATATCATGCGAAATTTGAGATT